GGCCAATAATTTTTTTTTTTTAATTAATTATATATTATAACAAATTGCTATTAAAAACAAAGTTCAAGTGCATTTATTTGAAATAAGAACTACATTTGAGAATTGAGAAAAAAATAACAATATGAAATACATTTTGTAAATTGTAATGAATATCAATTGGGATTTCCGCCACCGTTGGTTGTTGTTTTCCCTTTGTCACAGGACTTCATATGTTTTATTGGCATCCCGTATCCGTATGAACGCCCCAAGCAACAGTCTTTCTTGCACCACCTGCAAGTTGCCCACCACAGTCCGGTCTTCGGGTCCTTCCACTTGTCAAAATTGTTTTGCATAAGGGAAGATGTACTTTCCATATTTAAAATGGTATATGTATAACAGTATAAGTAATTAAGTAGGAATGTAGGATAATAAGAGAAGATGAAGATGGAGAAGAGTTTGAGAAGAATTGGAGAAAAGGTGTAGAAAAATGTTAGAAAATAGATGTATTTATAGGTGTTTTTGAACCCCACTCCCCACACCACCACCCCCGGGACCCCCCTGCCCCCCACCCATAGCCCCAACGGCTATATAGCCGTTTGGGAGCTTTGAATTTTTTTTTTTTTTAAGTTATACACATATATATTGTAAAATAAATTAATTAATTTAATGAATTAAGTAAAACTAAAACAAATGTTACAAAATAGGTGTATAAGTATTTAAACAAATTACATATTCTAAATGTATTTTTAATTTAAAACCGGCTTTATATTTTAGAAAAATAATTTTAAGTCGTTAGATTGTAACCAATTAATTAATTTGAGAAGTGCTACATATGAAAAAGTGAACACATATTTATTTGAAATATGAAGTACAAGTTTACAAATTAATTTGAACTACAACTACAAATTTACAATTTTGAAATATGAAGTACAAGTTTACAATTTTGAAATATGAAGTACAAGTATAAATAAATTTGACAAGTGCTACAAAATACATTTTGTACTAAATTCTAAAATACTAATCAATCGGAATCTCCGGCATAGGTAGAGCCACCATCGGTTGTTGAGTCATCCATAAAATCTTGGGAGGGGGTGATGCTCAATTCTTGAGTTCTATGTGCGGCCTTCAACCAATCGTGGTAGCATATAAGCGTCTCAAGAGACTCCGCGCTCAATCTCGATCTAGATGCCGTTAGGACGTTGCCGGCCGAACTAAATTCTTGTTCCACCGCAACTGTTCAAACCGGCATTGATAGTACTTGCTTAGCCATCCGTGCTAAAATCGGGAACGTTCTTTCTTTTGACTTCCACCAGTCTAGAACGTCAAAGTCATCATTTTCTTCAAAATCAACTTCATATGTTAAATACAAAGTAATCTCATTCAATGCGCTTTGTTCAGTGACGTGAGTTGTTTTAGTTTTTTTCATAAGATTGCCAAATGCAGATTTAAAAATCGATTTTCCTTTAGATGAAGATGTTCGTGACGGGGGAGGGGGAGCGTTGCTATATTGTGCACGAAACTCATTAAATAAGGCATAAAATAAAGTACTAACCTCGTTGTATTCCGTTTTCGGATCTATGGGGTTATCCTCATACATTGGAAATTCACCGAAAAACGCAAGATAATAGAAGTTGAAACAATCTTCCAAATTAGCAAGTCTATAACGAGGATCGAGAATAAATGCAATACCATAAATATGGGGAATATGCGCATAATATTTTAAAAACTTTTCCTTCATATGATCACAAAAATAATGAACGAAAACGGCATTTTGAAATTCTTTAAAAGCATCGGCGAGATTAACAGCTTGTGAAATAAATTGGTTTGCGGTAGGTTTATAAACATGACTAAAAGTTTCAGTAGCATTAAAAAAATATATCAAAACATTACAAATTTTTTCGCAAGTGTCGATCTCAGCCGCGTTTATAATATAGTTATCATGTTCTTTTAAAAAAGCAGGAAAATGTTCTTTATATCTAAGAACAACTTTAAGTAATTTATAAGTACTATTCCAACGAATACTCAAATCTTTAGGAAAAGCAACATATCTCACACCTCTTTCAGTCAAATAACTTTGCCATTTTAATCTAAGTTGACCATTACCCCAAATACGTCTAACCCCCCCCCCCCCCTTTATTACCTCCATGGAATCTCCTAACGCTTTTAAACCGTCTTGCACACATAAATTTATAACATGACATGCACACCGTTGATGAAAAAATCTACCCATCAAAGAATTGGCACCACACAACTCACGCAATCTAGGTATAGCAGCAGTATTATTAGTAGCATTATCGAAACCAATAGCAAACACCTTATCAATCAAATTATACTCAATTAAAATACGCTCAATCAAAATATAAATATGTTCAGCGGTGTGACGATCATTAAATTCACGAAAAGCAAGAACACGTTTATGCATATTCCAATCCTCATCAATATAATGTGCAGTCAGACCCAAATAATATAAATGATGAAAATCATCCTCCCATATGTCAGAACAAATAGTAACACGCCCATCAAAGTTTGCAAAAAAAAATTGTAACCTTTCCTTTTCCGCATTATAAAGCCTTATTATTTCTTTCTTAACAGTTTTGCGACTATAATTTCTAAATTGAGGATTTAAACTACCTTGTGCATAATCTCTTAAAGCAAGACTTTCAGAAAACAAATAAGGCAAATTTTCTTCACAAATTAAGTTAGCCATACCAGTCAAATTTTGTGCATCATTGTAGGAGAAATTACCAAAAGGTTGAGAATTCGCAAACCTCGATATTTGAGTTTGCTTCCCCGTTCCGCCGCCTAATTTTGCATACTCCACGGGGTGCTTTGCCTTAAGATGCCTTGCGGCGGATCCGTATCCGCCGGAGGTTCCCAAACTATAATTGTTGTTGCACCACTTGCAAGTTGCGTGCCAATAGCCGGTTTGTGGGTCCTTCCATTTATCAAAATTATTTTTCATTAGTTCAGACTTACTTTTTTTATTACCGGTGGCGGTTTGGGATGAGGCAGGCGCGTCGGCGTCGTGGCTGCCGGCACCCTCCTCCTCGGCCGTCTCCGGTTCCAATTCCTCCGCATCTTCATCCTCAAGCTCCTCTTCGTCAATGGTCGTCGGCATTTGTTGTTGTTGTAGAAAGCGGTTATTATGTCGGGCCAATTCTTGTTGGAGTTGTTCTTCGGACATCGCATCTCCATCTCGCCTTTGGTAACCCGTTTCAAAATCATCTCGACTTTGAGATGAAGACCCGGCAAGTTCTTTACCTTTGCGGGATTTCTTCCTCCCAATCTCGTTTCTTCGATTGCGTTGGAGATTACCCAAATCAACCGAATATCTACCACCTTCCATCTAAAAAATGTAACAAATATTAATTCACAACAAATATAATAATGGATACAAAACTAATGCAACTAATTAAAACTATTTTAATTAATACTTCAAACTAATTTTTTGCAAAGTAGAATTAATGTGTGTCTCTACAATTAAAATTATAGCAACTTTTGAAGTAAATAACTAGTACAAGTAAAAATGTAACAACAATGCTAATTAAGTAGTTAACTAGTATAGTGACAAATGTAACAAACTAACAACTAGTTAAATAAAATGTGAAGTATTTTAATTAGTATAATGAAAAATGTAACAAGAATGGTATTGAAGTATTGAACTAATTAACTAGTATAATGAAAAATGTAACAAGAATGGTATTGAACTAATTAACTAGTATAATGAAAAATGTAACAAGAATGCTAATTAAGTAATTAACTAGTATAATGAAAAATGTTACAATAATGATAATGAACTAATTAACTAGTATAATGAAAAATGTAACAAGAATGCTAATTAACTAATTAACTAGTATAATACTAGTTATAGTAAGTAATATATAATATAATGTTTATATTATATAATATATAAGTATACTATACTATACGATGAGTAATACACTTATATTTTATACTTTAATATATAAAATATATATTAAGTAGATGTAGAATGTATGTATTAAGTGGATATAATAATTGTATAAGAATTAAATATTAGAGTATAATGGAGAATTGGAGATTGGAAAATAAGTATATATAAAATATAAGTAGAGAAGTAGATATTATTATGTATGTATGTATATAAGTAGATATAGTATGTATGTATGTATTAAGAGATATAAGTAGAAATTAAGTAGATAAGAAATATAAGCAATATAGTATATGTAGATAATAATATATATAAGTAGATAATTAATATATAAGTAGATATAATAATTGTATAAGTATTAAATAGTAAAATAAAATATAAAGGAGAATAAGAGAATTAGAGAAGATGAATATGGAGAATTGGAGAATGGAGATGAGTAGAGAGTAGGATTTAGAAGAGTTGGAGAAGAGGTGTGAAAAAATGTTTAAAATTAGGAGTATTTATAGGTTTTTTTTTTTAACCCCCACCCCCCACCCCCACCCCCCACCCAAACCCCCCTGACCCCCCCCCCGGTACCACCCAACGGCTATATAGCCGTTTGGGGTGGCCGTTGAGCCAAAAGAATCCAAAAAAAAAAAAATTTTTTTTTAAATATTGGACCGTTAGGCCCGGGCCCGGGCCCGACCCGGCCGGGCCGGGCCTCCAAAACCAGGACCCGAGCCCGGTCCCGCTAACCCGACCGGGTCTATGCCCGAACCGGACCCGGACCCGAGAACCGGGCCGGTTCCGGGCCCGCACAGTGACGGGCCGGGCCGGTCCCGGGCCGGGCGGCCCGAACCGGGTCCACGCCTATTAGGGAGTATACCATTTGTGAAAAGAAGATTGCAGTAAGTCTATTTTTGAAAGAAATTTTGAAAGGTGACAAAAGTGATATTACTTTTCCTTTTTAGTCTATTTGTGATAAATTCCCAAAAAGTAATAATATAGATTATCATTGCATTCGTCATTTCGTCCCATTAAACTTAACCAACTTTATATTGTGTGAATTGAGAAAATAAAAAACAATGTAGTTGATATTTGTACAGATAAGAGAAAAATAATCAGAGCCACAAATTTATGTTTTAAAGAAAAGTTGACAGAATACAATGAGACAAAACAAGTATTATAATTATTAAATACTAATAATACTAATATAATCATCATAGTAATAGTAGTAAATGTGTAACGCAGTAGGCAGATCATCCACATCCCTACAATACCACCAACACTGACCTAATCTACAATGCGTATATAAACTACTGGCAAAAGTAGAGCTTTACAAATGGTTGTCTAAAATGCCTAAATGGGTGTCTCCTCCTATGTAAAATAACTGCTCAGAATCAGCTGGTAATTCTGAACTTCTCACAGTCCTTTGCACCATGTTTGGTGAAATTCGAGACAAGACCATTCATCATTCTGAAGATTGCGCGCTTGAAATCACCATCACGTCCAGGTGCATTGACATTATCTCCCTTTATTTTTCCCTTAATCACAGAACCAACCATGACACCCTCCATGTAGGCTTTACATGCTGACAGGATATCATGTGCATAGATCTGGAAGTGACCAGCAACAAGGTCTTCAAAGTGCTGAAATGGCATTGAATCTTTATTATTAACAAAAACAAAACAATGGATGCAATTACAAACAAAATGTTACTATTAATATCACATACTCACATGGGAATGCAAAAGATGCTTAATCTGGGAGATATCAGTGCTTCACTTATAGTCTAGCTTAGCAAGCGCAAAGGAATGCCGAAGAAAGTGGAGTTCATATTTGTGGGAAAACACATGAGAAAAAGAGGACTAGATTCTGGAATTTGCTTGATTGGGATCATCAGATCAGGGAAGAAAGGAATCAAGAACAATTAACCAAAATGTCCTTCTATTCAGCCCTTTGTTAGCACAATTGAGTCATTGTTATGTTATGTTATGGAAAAGCCCCTTTTGTCTCATTGTGAGAAAGTTAGACCCAAGAAATCACAGCCAAGGTAGCAATCATGGGATTGTTTTCCCTAATGGCAAGGAATAAGTATCACAGGGTGGGGGACCTATTCCCGTACACCAAGGATTAAAAGTAGCTCAAGGTAGGAATTAGTGGGTATAGACAAAAACTCACCCATGTATGACGTATCAAACATGGCAATAGTGTTATGTGTGAGTAGGGATGGACTGGGATGGGCCAACCCGGCCCACTACTATGCAGGCCCGACCCGGTTGACCGGGACTGGGACCGGGCCTGGGACCCGACCCGGTTGAAGAAGCAGGTGGGCATCGGGCTTTGATTTCAGTGGCCCGGTCCGGCCTGGCCGGGGCTGTCCTGGTCAGTCTGGGGCCGGCCCGGGCCTAACAGTTAAGAATTCAAAAAAAGGGCTTTGAATTGTTTGGCCCGATCCGACCCAGTCCTGTCCCGAAGCCCGCCCAGATAGCCCGGCCAGACCCGGTACCGGTACAAACCCGGGCCGGTACCGGGCCTGAAATTCTTAGGCCCAAAGCCCGCCCAGGCCCGTCCCAGTCCACCCCTATGCGATAGGGGGAGATCTGACTAATGGGAATGGAATTGAATCATAACAAAGTTGAAAATAAGACCCCATCCAAAGATTGCTAGAGCATAGAAGATCATACATACCCTTGGAGGCCTTCGAAGGGTATACATCATTGTTTTCAAGGAGAGGATAAACACGTCTTCATTGTAAGCATTGGACCTTTTCTCCCCGTCGGCACCAACATACGAAGTTTCATATCCAGGCTCATTAAAGAATGGCTTTGCATTTAGAATTAAAGCTTGTATGGATACTAAAACTTGGAGCATGGTTGATTTCATTGGAAGCCACTTCTCATCACCTTTACCAGTCCAAGTGTTTAGAAGGCTAAGGCAGACTTTTCCGCAGTCGTACAGATTGGGATTCAATCTCAATCCACCAGAATAATAGTAAACCATCTTCCAAATAAATAAAAAATTGTGTTAGATACAGAAGACAAAGTATAAGCACACTCCCAAAAACTGCATACCGGTGGAGTATCAGGGTATGTGGGAGGGAAGAAGGCATCGAAGACAAAAAGGCCATCATGATATGGAGTTCCTTGTGGTCCTACAATGACTGCCCTAAGAAGATCCATCCTTGTTTCATAGACTCTTACATATATGGTGTCTGCAGAATGGATAAACTTGATTAAAGTACTGTTTTCTTCAACTTCATTTTTTCTTATTCTTGTTTTGATCAGATTAGACAAAACAAAAAACTTCGGACGAGATAAAATACTATCAGGCAGAGAGAACAAACAGGTAATAAACTATACAAATAGCAACCTAAATATGAGCTATAAGGCCCATTCCACTTATGTATTTGCAAGGATGAAATAAAAAATCCAACAACGCCATCCATCTAATTTTAGATTGGTAATTCTTTGTTTTAGATAACAATCACAGCTACATGTCAGCATTCTTTGTTTTAGATAACAATCACATTTAGGATTTTGCATCTAAAATTTGTCTAAAAAATTAGGCTATTGACAAAAATGTTGGTCTTAAAAATCTTTAGCAATGACAATTTGCCTATAAAATGTCAAGCCATGGACCCAAAAAAAGTCAGTTGTTATTTCAATTATAGTGTTTCAGTTCAGCCCTTTAACTTACGGCAGGATTATGTCAACTTTACCTTCTAGTTATTCAAATTTATCTTGTTTATATTAAAACATTTATTTTTATGGTAATTTTACATTTTTCATTTGTTATTTCAGCCGCGTAGCCGAACAAGTCTACTGTCTACTCATTCAACTAGCATTTCAATAGTCTCTAAATTTTACATTTTTCATTTGTTATCTCAGCCACTTCTATCCAGCTTCCGACAATAATCTCTAAATCAGATAATAGGCTCCAGCTCCAGTTCATCTGTCCAAACATAGCCTATGTATCAAACAGCTTTAATGTTTAAATGTCTATTGAAAAATTTTGAACTTTTCTGTTCTAAAAAGTTGTTATATGGTTGCAGGCTTGCACGGCCAATATCACTGTTAAATGTTATGCACTTTTGGGTTAGTGTTTTTCCCTTAAGACTGTAAAAAATTGAACCTATCCTAGTTAATTTGAAATGACTTTCAATTTAAATAAATTTTCTTACACTTCAATTCCCACACTTCTGTTTTTTTTTCCCTTCATGTGGGACACTTGGTCCGTTTTCTGGAAAAACTCCATCATACGTCTTGATCAAGTCATAACTACAAGAGAGTACTCACCAGGTAAATCATTCTCCAAAATCTTCCATTCACCCTGAATTTTCTTTGACCAGGTCTTAGATGGCTGTTGAGAAATATATGTGCACAAGTTAGCATTATCATATACATGCATGCATGTAAGTATGTAACCCTTCACAGTAACCAATGAAACTATAATGGAGAAGACATAATAACCCTAAGAGACAGGACAATCTGAAATATACATCACCTGCAACCCTTGTAATCCCATATTGTTGTAGTGGTGGTCAGAACAATCACCAACGATGTCAAAACGTTTAAAGTTTTGATATTTTCTTAAGGCTTCGTCATTACTATCACTAGTTTCCTCAATGCACTTCCGAATGGAACTCTGTCCAGCAGAACTGCTTGAAGCAGTTGATGAAGAACATTCTGTTCTTATGCCAACAGGTAACGATACAATATTCTCATCGGTCCCTCCACCTACAAAATGACTAGTTGAAGCTGTAGCAGTCGAGGTAGGAGGAGTAGGTTCATTCAGCCAAGGGACAGATGCCTCTACTCCAGCAGGAAAATCAGCATTGTCAAACTGTGCTTGCATGCTGAGATAATCGTAATCATCATTCACATCATCCTCGTCAAACATATAACCATCATTGTCTTCAGACTCTTCACCATTAGAAACCTCATCATCATCACCACACATGTAATCATCCATATCATTACCATCATCATGGCTTGAGAAATTTGAAACGGAACTGTTATTGTTATTGGATTTCAGGGAATTGGATGTAGACACCGGTATGCTGGCAGAACTCTCTCCATCCTTAGTTATTGTTTCCTGTTTGAAGAAACTGAAGCTAGATTAGCCAAACTAGACAAACAATGTGCATATTAAGGTCACCTGTAACCAGAAATAAAGAAGAAAATAAAAGTCTCTCAATGCGACAAGTATCACCGTAAAAAGACAAGCACTAACAGCATCACGTGAGCTTGGTGTATTACTTCCATATTGCTCAAAAACTGTCATAAGATTGAAAATCGTGAATGCCTTGTGTGTAGAATGTCTTGAGTTGGATGAGAGTATGTCTTTGGAGAGAGCAAAGTGGAGGGCGCATATTCGTGTGGACGATTGATCTCTTTTCTCTCTTTCCTCTCTCTTTTTCTTTTATCTTCTTTATCTTTCTATGTTCTTATGTTATTTTTATATTTCTTATGCTCTCTTATCTTTTTATCTTTTATCTTTCTTATGTTCTTATGTTATTTTTATCTTTATCTTATTCATTTCATCTTACTTTATCTTTTTGTTCCTCTTAGGGAAAAGGTGCAAATAGGCCCATGTACTAACCAAAAAAGGTCAAATAAGCCCTTATTTAGGAGGTTCTGTCCGGACGTCGTCATTTGGGGTGGTTCCCGGTGAAATTTTTTGATGAAATTTTTTGAGCATCTTATTCATCAAGTCTAGTTTACTCATATCAAGTTTCAGCTAAAACTTCAATCGGGAAGGCATTCAAATGAATTCTTGAAGATAACTGCGCTTCTAAGTGTGCAGTTATTTTCAAGAATTCATTTGAATGCCTTCCTGATTGAAGTTTTAGCTGAAAGTTTTTATGAGTAAACTAGACTTAATGAATAAGATGCTCAAAAAATTTCATCAAAAAATTCCACCGGGATCCAACTCAAATGGCGACGGCCGGACAGAGCCTCCTAAATAAGGGTTTATTTGACCTTTTTTTGTTAGTACATGGGCCTATTTGCACCTTTTCCTTTCCTCTTATCTTTCTTCTCTTTTTGGCTCTGATATCATGGATCGATTCATGTTAGCCGGCCCCAAAATCTTTTGGGAATAAGGCTTGGATGTTGTTGTTGGTGTTGTAATGGAGCAAGATAATAACAGTCTTTAGAACAAAAATTGACATATATTTCCCGTGCAAGAACCAAAAGACAAAAACACCCAAAAATCCAGCGGCCACTGTAGTGAAAACCGGTTAATCCAGTGATCAAAGCGTCGTTTTTTTAGGGTCTCAGTTTTCAAGTCCTGGGATATAAATGTATAAAAATGAATTGGAATAAGTTTATTATACATCAAAGTACTACTTACATGTTTGGATGTATTTCATCTTATTACTAGAATCCATTGTTATAGAGTGGTGTATTAATAAAATGAATTAATTTGTCCATATTATAAATAAGGGGGAATTTGACTTTGCACCCCACTTTTTTGAATGATATTGGACTTTGCACCCCATTTTAAAAAAACTTTGATTTTGCACCCCATTTCACTTCAAAATCATTTGACTTTGCACCCCATTTAGAAATTTTTCTTCAGGAATGTTATATGATAGGGTGCAAAGTCAAAGGTTTTTGAAAATGGGGTGCAAAGTCCGATATCACCCAAAAAGTAGGGTGCAAAGTCAAATTACAGTTCCACCCATTTGTTTTCCTTAGGGTAGATTATAAATAAATGGTCTATTAGGAATATATTATTTGTATTTAATACTGTGTAATTATTAGTTCCACCCATTTGTTTTCCCTAGGGTAGACATGTTATTTGGCTTTCCAACTCCTCCTGTAAACTTACATACATACATGTGTGTATGGTATTCCTTACTCAACAAATGCAGACACCATACCATTGAGTTCCTTCCATATACTCTTCTAGTATACATTATTGAATATTATGTGATAAGGAATATTCTTTGTGTATCATATAATGAGACTCAAAATGGTATTCCAAACGTATATGTTAGCTTGATAAAAATATATAATCATGGTGTGAAAATAACTTTTTATATAAAGTTTGGGGTATATATATTACATGTGCAAGTTTGGGATACTTATCTCACACCCTTCAAAGTTTGGAAAGTTGAAATTATTTTCCCCACATTTAATTTGTTTCGATAAATCTCAGTGCTAGCATTTGTTTCTAATAGCAGCCTGGGAGTTGGACTAATGATTTGAAAATTTGATCTAATTTTTTAAATTTAAAATCCTGGTCAGACAAGTTGATGACTGATCCCAAATGATATGATGGTGACAAGCTTCTAGGATCACAGCCAAGCAATTCTTAATTTATAAGTACAATGGTCTGATTTTCAAAAGACAATCCTCACTCACTGCATTCTCAAACCCCATGTATGAGGAAAAATACTAGTCTGCATACATCCATGCATACTTGTGTGCATTCTCTCTCCAGGGAACATATCTCCCTTGTTTTCCTACTCTTGAAGTGAGCGTGTTCATAGTTGATCTTTATTTATTCACTTTCTGATCTTGGCTCTTATATCTAAACTGGCAAAAGAGGTAATGGTCAAGAGTTTGTGTCAAGCAAGCTAAAGGGCTGAAACCGAGGTAGAGAGGTAGGATTATCCTGGAATCAAGTTGGGCAGTCTAGTCCGAGTAGCTCTTGTGATATGCGCTATCTTTCTTCAAGGCCAATCCATTAACTAGGCGGTTGTACGTGAAGTTCTTCGTCTTCTAATTTGATTATTTAATTCAATTATCTAACTTTATTCCTTTTAATCGATGCTCTTGGCCTTGGTGGTTTGTCATAAACTCCTGATTTTTATCAGACTAAAGACTTATGTTAATATCAAATTTTCTAACACAATATATCTGGTGCGGAAACCCCATACTCCGTATAAAAAAAACAATCAATCATAAGGCGACCAAAACGAATTGCACGACAAATCAACCTTAATTGTTCGAAGAATAGAACACTACAGAAACATGCTTAGTTTTCGACGGAAGAAGCGATACCTCGTTGTGCATGTTAACTGCGGGAGCGCCAGTTAGTTGCGAAGTCAATCCTTCGAGTTCCATGATCTCCACTCTTGTGGAATTTGAATCCAACCGGAGAACCCTAACAGCTGAATTTTGGAGTGGACAGTACGGAAGTGACGGGAGTCTAGACTCCGGAGAGAGTAAAAGTTGTGACGCGTTGGCCCGTTCAATTTTGAGCCGTATTGTACTATATATATATATATATATATATATATATATATATATATATATATATATATATATATATATATATATATATATATATATATATAGACACACATGTTCAGGTCAGGAGTTCCTGACCGGAACCGCCGTCCGGACCGCGGCGTTTGGCCGCCTTCCGGGTGGAATTTGTTAATGAAATTTTTATCACATGTTCTCTGTCAAGTCTAGTTTATCCAAAAAAAAATTCAGCCAAAAACTCAATCGGGAAGGTCGTCAAATGATTTTTGCAAGTTAACTGGTCCGGAATATGTATTTTCCGGACCAGTTAACTTGCAAAAATCATTTGACGACCTTCCCGATTGAGTTTTTGGCTGAATTTTTTTGTGGATAAACTAGACTTGATGGAGAACATGTCATAAAAATTTCATCAAAAAAAGCCACCGGGAAGGCGGCCAAACGCCGCGGTCCGGACGGCGGTTGCGGTCAGGAACTCCTGACCGGATCATTACTATATATATATATATATATATATATATATATATATATATATATATAAGGAGAAAAATGAGAATGAACTACACCCCTTGGATTATTTTATTTTAATGTTATGGGCTAAGGGTATTTCTAAAATTTTCATTCCTCATTTAAGGCACATTAATTGCTTATCCATGTAAAAAAGTAAATTTATTTCTTCCGTTTAAGTTTCTTAGCTTTTCTTTTTTCTACATGTAGTATGGAATATTTTTATATCCTTTTCTTGCCCATCTTGGCCATCTTAATCTTAAATCATACGGAGCACGTAGTTTCACCATATTCCCTCCATTTATTTAATTTTTCTTTCTTTAGTCAGAGTATATAAAAAGTTCATCAATTTGTTAATTTAAGAATGCACTTTTAATATATTAATTTTGCATATTGTCACAAGTGAATATCATAAATAATTTTAAATATGCACACTTATTGTATGACTACTTGTATTATAAAAAGATAAATATAAAAAAATTACCGTCATGTCTAATTTATTTGAGAGCAATGCCAAATAATTATTAAATAGAAGCTATGTGCAATATAAAAGTGTACATGTTTATAGAATTAAGTTCAAATGATAAAAGATTTTAGGAGAAAAATGAGCATTAGGTGAAATTAAAATGTGCATTAGGTGCAATCAAAATGTGCAACACAAAAGGTACGACACAATGAAATTTTGTGAAACTAAATTGTGAATTAGGTGAAATTGAAAAGTGTATTAGGTGAATCTGAAATGTGCAAAATAAAAGATACGATGCAGTGACATTTTTGCTTTTTATTTTGCACATTTCAATTTCACGTAATGCACATTTGATTTTTATCTTTAATTCTGCACATTTCAATTTCAACTGATGCACATTTCAGTTTCACTAAAAGCACAATTTAATTTTGCATAATACCATCTAATGGTCCAGAAGTGTTTCCATTTCTCTCTTGTGAGTCTATTCTCACCGGAACCGCTCTGTAATTTTTTTTTTCAAATTGTGAAATATTTAGTGTATAATACATTTCGGAATGTACAAAAGTGCACCAAAACGTAGAATGGTTATTGCACTAATTAATGCACTTTGAATATTCACCATATGCACCATCATAAATTGATTATATAGATTATAATTTTATTGATTAAAGGAAATCTATTTTCAAGTGCATAATAATTTGAGTAAAAGTGCTTTTAGTTATGATAATTTCGAAATCCATTTTTGAAATTGTAAAAATAGTTCAAGTGCAATTAAGAGTGGCCAATATTTAGTTTCTTCCAAAAAAAAGTAGCCAATATTTAGTATTGTATTTGTAATCAAAATGTGCAACACTCAAAGCAACCAATATTTAATTCAGTATTTACACTTAAAATGTGCAACATTCATATCACGTCTGCAAAACCTATTAAAATATTTGAATTACCAATAGTAGTTAATGTTTTTTATTTAAAAAAAATAGTAGTTAATGTTTTACGGAAGATTTCTTTTGCAAATGATTGCAACTGCGTTTTATATGTATATAAAGGGTGCAGTTATCTTCTAAAAATCATTTGACTGTCTTCCCGATTGAATTTTTTGCTCAAATTTGGTATGGATGTACTAGACTTGATGAAGAACATGCTCAAAACATTTCATTGAAAAATTCCACCGGGAAGGCCCTCGAAACGTGGAGGCCGCACGGCGGCTCCGGTAAGGTATACCTTAACGGAAGAGTTCCCTATATATATACACTACTAGAATTTTTGTCAATTGCTGCACCCTATTTGCTGCGGTTATTTACGATCCGCAGCAGTTAACTTGAAAATACACCATCATTTGCTGCGGTCACAAAGGATCCGCAGCTTTTGGAGGAAAATTTTTAACTTATTTGCTGCGTCCGTGGCGGAACCGCATCAATTGAATTTTAAAAATTAATTTTATACGCATTTGCTACGGCCTCAGAGCAACCGCAGCAATAACTACAAAAAAAAGATAACCTACGCTACCCAGGGCCACAAACTCCAGAAGAAATCCTATCCCTAGCTATTCCCTTGCGTTCCAGATCCGCCGGCCTCCTCGATCCCATCAGGTTCCAACCTCAACCCACCGCCGTCTCCGTCCATCAGCAACCTCTGCCTCCTCCAATAGCTTGCCGCCTCATCCAGCTGCTAGCCTCCTCCCCTCCCACGATTCTGTCAAGTGAGCCGTACCACCTCTGACTCGCACCGCTCGACCTCACGACTCTTCTGCCTCGCCCTCCACCTAGAAACGTCACCGTACCTTGCGCCTCCGCCTAGCAACGTCAATTCGCGCCTCCGCCTAGCAAAGCAGCCTCAAGCCTCACGCTGTATTGGGCTATTGCAGGTCAGATTTGTATGTTTTTGACATCTTTGAGGCTCAATCAACTAATTTACACTTCCATGAACTAAATAAGTACAGTTGATTTGTTTTCATTACTTGGGTTTAATTTTCTGTGTTTTAAGGATATCAGAAATGGATGCATCCGGGCTTGTGCACCGATAATGTAATTACTCGTCACCCCCCTTTTCACTTATTAGAGGTATATTTCTCATGTTTTTATCATTTCAGTTAGTTTCTTTTAATGATTTATTAATCTAATGAAAATTTAATCCATAGTATAATATTTCTATGAACTTAAGAATTTAGTATTGATAGTTTGTGTTTGTAAGAAGTTGATGAGTATATATTCAATTCTCCTGAGCAAAGATTCTGTATAATACGGAGTAATTAATAGTCACATAATAACTGAATTAACCTTTAGTTGTTGTTATGATTACCTCTGGTAATATATAAACTATTCTCTTTGTTGTCCTGTAGATCGAGTTTAGGCTTCTCTACATTGATGTTTAATTGAAAACTTGAACTGAACGTTTCTGAAAGTTTACATGTTTTTTAGTTTCTTTTTATTGATGTAAATAAGCCTATGCAGTTTGTGGGACTATACAAAGCATTAGACACTTTGATGTGTCATCACTGGTAGGTCAACTTTCCTTGCTTCATAATTTAATAATGTATGCATCGTTTCCAAGTGGTGAAAGCACATTGCTTTTCCAAAAAATGAAAAAACTTATGCACTCTTTATGTGCACGATCTCATGGGATCAGTCATAATGAAGTTCCCAATTTTTGCATCTACATCTACAGCGTGAAACCAGGTTTTTCCATGATGAAAGATGTGCTAATATTTAATTACGAAGTAGAACCTAAATATGGGTTGCTGATAAAAACTGTTAATGGCGCGCCTATGGCTCTGGTCAATTGAATTTGTTTTTCTAAACCTGGCGTCTTTTGTTACATTCAAGTTTTTACTCTACTTTCACAGTTTTACATTGATCAATTAAGTGGACGGGAGTCCCATCGGAGTGCTGACAAAACGCTCCATTGCAAAAAGCAAAAATTTTCTGGTATAAGTGTTCTAGCATGACCCACCCCTCTATTACTGATTGTGGTTTTATGCCTTCTCAAAATTTAAAATATGTGATCGTTCTACAAGTATTGCCAAGTATGGTTGTTGTTTTTCTATGCACTTTTCAGAGAGGAAATGTTGGTCATTTGCACAAATTACTCAATGTTGAGTCTAGTTCACATGTAAACATCTCATGGTCAACTTAATCCCATTAATTTTCAATTAGTGGCTTGAATTGCACTAAAGTAAATGAAAAGATGTATCTAAATATAGAATAATAGCATGGATTTCATACCAGGAGTTTTTCATTTTTTCACGCCATTGCATTTTCGTGAAGGAAATGTGATATGGAATTCCAAAACTTACTTTGTCTCTATAGGTTCTGTATTTTGGGGATCACATTTTTTTAGCATAACTGAAATGCAGAGGCATTAAATGTAATTGACAATGGGCTTATAAATGATAATAGTAAATTAATAATGCTCCATTATACTCCGTAAATAGTACTCTCAAACAACCTGAAATAATACAGAGTTGTAAGTTAAATGTACTCCACTTCTTATTCTAAACCAAACAAAGTGATGAACTGAAATTGGTGTTCCAAGAAAGTATAGCAATAATTGTTTGTGAAGAAGTAAAGATGGAAGATGACGGACTAGTAACCCCAGTTATTGTTTCGGATTTCATCATCGAACTTCTTTTTTAGTTCAGGATGCTTTGCAAAGTATTCATCTGCAGTCATAGTGCTGAGTTTTTTTCTTAAGCTCTTGCACATCTCCTATTTCTTTTTCCAATCTTTCAGACTCCTTTCATGATTGTTTCTCAGCTTCTTTCAGCTCTACCAACAAGGCATTAAACTTGGATTTACATTGGGGGGTCACTGTATCCACATATTTGGGGATTTCAATGCTCTCATATGCTTCCTTGTGTATGTGTGTGTGTGTGTATATATATATATATATCCACCAAGCAAGAACCTAACTCTTTCCTGTGATACTCCTATAGGTTCGGGTTCCTGACTGAACTTGGTTTGAAGTTGGGAGTTAATTTTTTCAAAGGAACGTCGAAGGGTAGCGA